CATCCGAATCCAATGACCTGGTAATTTCTTCTCTCTCTCTCTCTCTCTCTCTATATATATATATATATATAAGTATTTGTATATCGTTTTGATTCTGATGATAAGGATTTTGTGATCTCTATATACAGCTCTGTTTCAGTGTCTTTTGTTTGAAGCGTGTAGAAGGATTGTGAATCCAGTGAACAGAGTCGTCGGATTGTTGTGGACGGAGAACTGGCACATGTGCCAGGCAGCGATGGAGATGGTGCTCCGAAGTAGAGCATTACCGCTGATTTTCTACAAATAAGAGAGAATTAGAGAGAAAGAGAGATAGAGAGAGAGAGAAGACTTGCAAATTGTTTTCGTAACCCATTGGTGATTGTTGCTAGTTTGCAACAGGTGCAGTAAGAGAGAGAAGCTATAGATGTGTATATATGCAATGAGAGAAAGAGAAAGAGAATGAGAATGAGGAAAGGTGGTGGAGTAGTGGCGGAGTGGCAACGCCGATAGTGGGCTGATGGATGTGATAGGGACAACTAGGGTTAGGGTTTTTTTTGAGGTTTTGAGTGTAAAGAGAAGGAGGAGGAGAAATGTTAGAGATGAGGGTAATAAACGAATTGTATAAATTAAAAAAATAAACTAAAATTTGAGGGTGTAAGGAGTTAGATTGGTGGTGTAAGTAGAATCACTCTTCTAGGAAATGCGAGGAGCAATTTTCAGACGAAAATACCCTTATTCAATTTTAGCGCTAAACGATACACATTGTTTCAGTATTCAATGCCTTTCACCTTTTGAAAAATTTTAAAAATTAAAAATTCTATAACTTTTGATTATATATTCGTTTTTAATAAAATTTATATTTTTAAAATGTTCTTATTGAGATCTATCAAATAAAATTAATGATGAATATAAAATTCTAAAATAAAATTGACAAAATTTTACTAAGTTGACTATCTACCATCAATGAAATTTTTTTGGCTTTCAGTTAGAGAAATTTCACTGAAGGATGGAGACAAAGGAAGAAAGAGACATTGAGGGGTTGTGAAGAGAGCAAAGAAAGAAAGAAAGATAGATATGAGGCACTCCAGCATAAAATAAAACGAAACCCCTTGGCCCTAGGTAAATTTTTTTGAAATTTCATAAATTTCTCTGAGTGAAAATTGAGAAATTTCTCTCAGAAATTGAAAATTCAAAAAGTTTTCTAAGCAATTCTAAAAATTCTCTCACAAAATTGAAAATTCAAATTTTTCTCTGAGCAATTCTGAAATTTCTCTAGTGCTATATTTGGTTAGGAGATTTGGGAAGGGAATTGGAAAGGGAAAAAGAAAATATAGTTGAAATGTAAATAAAATATATAAAATGTATCTACATTTCACCTAGGCAATTGGGGTTGGAGATTCAACAACTGATTATAAATCTGTGGATGAATTTTAGGTTTTGGGTGGAAGGAGAGAGAGAGAAAGAGAAGGAGAAGGAGAAGGAGAAGGAGGAAGGAGGAAGGTTAGGGATGAGAGTAATAAATGAATTATAAAAATATAATATAAAAAAATTAAAATTTGAGGGTGTAAGGAGTTAGATTGGTGGTGTAAGTAGAATCACTCTTCTAGGAAATGCGAGGAGCAATTTTCAGACGAAAATACCCTTATTCAATTTTAGCGCTAAACGATACACATTGTTTCAGTATTCAATGCCTTTCACCTTTTGAAAAATTTTAAAAATTAAAAATTCTATAACTTTTGATTATATATTCGTTTTTAATAAAATTTATATTTTTAAAATGTTCTTATTGAGATCTATCAAATAAAATTAATGATGAATATAAAATTCTAAAAAAAAATTGACAAAATTTTACTGAGTTGACTATCTACCATCAATGAAATTTTTTTGGCTTTTAGTTAGAGAAATTTCATTGAATGATGGAGACAAAGGAAGAAAGAGACATTGAGGGGTTGTGAAGAGAGCAAAGAAAGAAAGAAAGAAAGATATGAGGCACTCAAGCATAAAATAAAACCAAACCCCTTGGCCCTAGGTAAATTTTTTTGAAATTTCATAAATTTCTCTGAATGAAAATTGAGAAATTTCTCTCAGAAATTGAAAATTCAAAAAGTTTTCTAAGCAATTCTAAAAATTCTCTCACAAAATTGAAAATTCAAATTTTTCTCTGAGCAATTTTGAAATTTCTCTAGTGCTATATTTGGTTAGGAGATTTGGGAAGGGAATTGGAAAGGGAAAAAGAAAATATAGTTGAAACATAAATAAAATATATAAAATGTATCTACATTTCACCTAATATCATATACTTTTTCCCTTTCCTTTCCAAATCTCTTTCCAAATCCCCCAATCAAACACAACATAAATGAACAGACTACATCAATCCTTCCGTTCAATCTCGAGGAAGATCTTCAATAAAGGAAGGATCATTAGATTGAGATTTTTCTCTGACGAGATTGAACAGACTGATGTAATATTTTGACCCATTTGAAGACAGATGTGTTAGAGATTTGGGGTGTTTGAGATCACTGAATTGAGAACATTTCGAAACATAGATCCATTGGCTTTATAATTCTTGGAAGATCGATTGGTCCAAGTGACGTAGAAAAGGTAAGTGACGTCATTGAGGGTTAAGAGCTTGGTTTGGGTGTCGTCGAAGTTGGAGATATTGCACTAGATGTATTCAATGGGGGTGGTCGGTGTTCCACAGCGGACGAGGGCAGTGAGAGACACCGTAGACTTTCTAAGGGCCACTGGGGGTGTTGAAGAGAAGAAGAATCTTGGCGAAGTTGCTACCGATGATGCCTGTGACGTCGATCATTATGGTTATGCACTGGTACTTCAGAGGTGCATCGTTGTCTTCGAATTTCTTCAAGGGAGAAAAAATAAATAAATAAAACAAAAACAAAAAAAGAGAAAGTACATCTAAAAGAGAAGAAGTGAGAGACCAAATACGTATCATTAAAAGGTAAAGTTGGTATTTTTTTTAGAAGAGAGTTGGCCTAAAATAGGAGTAATTCTATTTCCACACCCTAATTCTTCACAATTCACACATTTAATGAAAATTTTCATTAATACAATTTTGTCCTAGAATAAAAATACCATAATACCCTCTTCTTCTTCTATTCAAACCCTAATTCTAAAACACTACAATCATCCTCTATCGCCAGTGCCACCACTCTCATCCGCCATCCTCTCCCATCACTTCTTTCCCTCTCTGCCTGTGATCATTTTCCGTTATTAACCATACACTCACAAATCTACCACCGCAAAGCACTAAAGGTTGACTGGCGGCAACAACAGTAAAGGAGAACTAGAAGAATGGAAATAAATAAATAAATAAATAAATAAAAATTAAGCTCTGTTTAGTTCAATTTTAGAATATATTTTAAAATAAATAAATACAACTTCTTATTTTAATATGATTTTATCTTTTTAGGGGCAAAAAAAAATTAAAAATATTTTTTGGTATTTATTTTTATCAAATTAATTATTTTTTTCTTCAGAAAAATTTCAAAAAAAAAATGATTCAAAAATCGAAACCAAACATAGCCTTAAGGTTTTAAAAATGAAAATGAAGATAATATTGGAATATAGAGATGTGTACTGAGAATTTATATTTTTATAATATTTGTATTGAGAATGTGTTTGTTAAGTTTGTGTACCGAGAGTAATTGGAAATAAAATTACCCTTAAAATAGCTTACTAAATGACAAAATATGTTAAAATAGTGAATAAGACAAAATATCATATCTAATCCATAATCATTTTATTTTTTCTCTCATAACTATCAAATCAACTATTAAAAAAAGATCAACTATCTTTCCAAAAATAATTATTAAGGCTAAAATAATTAAAAAATCAAATAGCGAACAAAAATAGCATACTTCCCAAACAAGACTCCAATATAATTAAAACCGTGAGGTACCTTAACTCAAAAAAAAAAAATCCCTAGACCTTTACTACTTTTATTACTAAGGTTATATTTGGCATGAAGGTTTAGGTTTGGATTGTGTTTGGGTTATTTTAGTTACAACAAGCCAAAATTGACTTTTTAGTCTAATAAAACAAAATGTTATATCTAAACCATAATCATTTCATTTTTTTTCTCAGAAAAATCATAAAAACCAAAAAGCTTATTATAAACAAGGCTTTTTAACACCAGATTAAAAAAATCAAAAAGTCAAAAAGTTAACCGACATTCCAAATAAAGGCTATTTAAAATATTTGACTGTCGTCTCCCTAATTTTGATTCCGCCTTCCACTAAGGTATTATTCCCTTTTTTTAAAATTTAAAATAAATATAATTGGATTGATTTTAAACTCATTTAATCTTTAAATTGTGTAGAATGATGAGTTCGAGATCAGTTGGGCGCATTCATTTTAAAACATTATTAACTTAAATTTTGATAAAGAATATATATATATATATATATGTAACTTAAATTTACCCTATCTAAAGAAATAAAAAAATAAACCCTTAAATTTAAACATTTTAAAGGAAAATTGTTTGGAGTGTGTAACATATATACCTTTGGTTTAATATGTTTGTGGTCTTTGATTTGATTTATTATAGTGTTACGTTATGTGATGTTTGGTTATAATTTTTTTTTTTCCATAATTCAACTCTATTTTGATTCAAGCAAGCAAACCTAAATTGATATAAAAAGAAAATTTTAGTGAAACCAAAATTATCAAAACTGAAACATGCTTGATGTTGAAAACAAAAGAAATTATTCAAAAAGAAAGTTCTCAAATGAGTAGTTTTAAAATTCAAATACATCCTAATTTGAAAATCCAAATACATCTCAGTAAAAAGAATCGAAATTAAGACGTAGTGTAATATATGAATGATCAAATTCTTCGTCTCTTCTCTGAACTGAAACCAGGCTCTCATGGTAAACAATAGCCTGAGAAGCCACAGTTCGAAGATCCTTCATCTCAAGGGTAATAGGGTCTACCAAGTACAAATGCCCGTCCTCAACTTGGATGAGGAACTCACTTTTCTTCCAAAAGCCAAGCGGAATTGCTTCAAAAGGTCCAGCTATTAATTCTCTTGTCCGACGTTCTTCTTTCAATACCCAAATGTTGAAAACGTTTGGTGCCACGTAATGTGTTGGATAAGATTGTATCCAAGCAAGAGAGCCATTGTAGACTCCAAAATAATGTCCGACAAGATTAGTTCCTGGGTGAGGGCAACCTAGCTCTGGTATCCCTTTGAACGGCACCGGTTCATCCTGCTCCAATATATTTTGAAACACCTCGTAGCCCATATGAAATGAGAGTTTCGTAGCATCATGATTTTTATTACATGCACTCCAGTAGTAAACTCCATCCATGTAAGTGTAGAACTTAGAAATGGGAGAAACACTACATTCTGGAAAAAAACCCTCGAAATCTCTCCAAGAATCATCACGCAATGAATATATAGCAATGTGTTTAGGGTAACTTGATGGATGAATATCATCATCAAGGCTGGAACCCCGGTTGTACATCCTAATTGAAACCACTTTATAATCACCAGTGAAAGGATCCATCCCAAACCCAAAAGCATTTCTCTCGAGTTCCATTCTTGGAGGAATGGAGTTGGGGAATGTTTGTGTCGTGTTAATATAGGAAGAGCTCTGGATTCTCTGTTCGCTGGGTTCCATAGAGCTACAGAATCCCAATTGGTTAAGAGGCAAAAAATCCCGTTACAAGGACCCATAACACGCACTTTTGCATTCAACTTTAGACCAAGATATTCAAATACTGGAACTGTGAGGGATTTGTCACGACACACAGCAAAGGTATATTTTCTAGGAAAGTTATTTGCATCTTTGGGTTCAATGCTATGAACGAAGAGGCAACCATTTTCCTTCTTGTTACTGTTATTGAGATGCTTGGCTATGAAACTGGGATTTGTAATGAGAGAGGACCAAGATTTGGAGACACACTTAAATCGCAACAAAGATTTGACTGGTAATTTTACAAGAATCTCAACCATCACATCTTCATGTATGTAATGACTCACCATTTCTTTGGTTTTTTCTTTTTTCAGCAAAGATGTTTGGCCAAAGTTGGATCCCTCAATCAAAGCCAACGAAATTGCGCATCCATTTCTTCAAAACATAAATGAAAGTGCTTGGTTACAAGAATAATCTAGAATGAATGCAAAAGTGATATATATATATATATATATTTTCCTTTTTAATTTTGCAATACGCTAGCCATTACAAGTTCACAACCAATCGCAATAAAAATAATAGAAAACGTGGATCTAGAAAAGCCAAATCAATCTAATGTGAATAAAGATAAGCACACACCACCTTTACACCCATTTTAGACACTCATATCATTGGTAGAGGTGATTAAAACGAGGAGAAATTACTTCTTCTCAGTGTATGAGTAAAAAAGTATTTTCAAGTGAATGATATTCTTTATAAATATTAATATGCAAAATCATAATATTTTTCTTGATTTTGTAATTAAGGTTTGAAGACAACACTAACAGATATTTTTCCCTTAAAACAAGGTGCTAAATTATGTAAGCATTAAATTTTAAAGATCTTTTTTAATCATAAATGAATGAATGCATATAAATAATTGTTTCCCCTTTTATTTTCCTTCTTAAATTCAAAATTTAAAATTTTTAATGCAAGTGATGTTTTGAATTTTAATTTTTTGAATTCAATTTTCTGAAAATTGAGTTTTTTTTGTTTTTTGATTTTTTTTTTTTTTAGACGCAATTTTTTTTTTTGTATTTATATTTTTGTGAGATATATTTGAAAGAGCAAGATAAGGTCCAATGAGACAGAGGATTAATTGAGTACTTTCTCAAAGTTTAGTTTTCAATTTCATAGATTGTTGCATTGTGATCGGAAAGCTAATATAATGCAGAAATGATTCAGTTAACAAGGACTGTTTGGCCGATTGCTATTTGCTATGGTGTGACAGTGAAAATTTTATGGGATTGATGCATTGGATCTATGTTACTTAGTGTTCCTAATCCTGGTTACCTTTTCAGTTGGTTGGGTGGGACGACATAGTGATCCGCTAGACTTTGAACCTGTGTGTTACTACGTACTGACAGCGCAAGAACCTTTTTGGCCATTATGCCCAAGGCAATAGGTGATAATCTATGCAATAGTCAATGTGATTAAAACCAAGTTTGACTATCTCCCAGCAACCAGTTACTTGGTATAGCCTAATTTAAATTGGTTTTCACAATCAAAGGTCCAAGTTCTGTGTGGTAATCATTATATGGATTCCTGGACTTGGGTAACGATGTGTTGTGTACAGGTTTGTGTTTAAGTGTTTCATATCATCTAATTGTCAATGTCCAAGAGTACCCAAAATAGATGCCTTATGTCTCATATTTTCTTAAGTACTTTATTTATTTAGAGTAAAATTGGTGTGGTATAAACTAATGTCGAGTATTTTAGAACATAAAATGGAGAGTTTTATGCAAAAGGTTATGAAAGGTCACTCAGTGACATAATGCCGTGCGTGTCCAAGCTAGACAAATATGATTGCCATTTCTTTTCTCTTCAGTTTTAAGCCTTCCTTTTTAGAGGTTTTTATTTCTAATTGTTATCCTCTTCCAATATGGTGATGTTGATTATTTCTGCAGAGTGTAACCTCTTTATGACTGTTGAAATGAAAACATTGACCGTGGATGGTCGTGTTTTCTTTCTTTATTTAGCTACTTGAATGCCGTAAGATCTGTTGATGTGATTTCGGGATCGGCTATCCAACTGGGATAAATTGGCTTGAGTTGTTGACACCGATATAAATTTTCATTTTAGTGAGTCTCAACAATTTTTTTTCTCCAATCTATCTGTCATTTCCATTATTAGTCCAATAGCGAACCGACCGTGAATTGATTATGGGCTCATAGTGAATTCATGAATCATAAGAGCACTTTGTTTAATATAATGTAATATAATTTTAATGAAAAAAATATAATTCTCAATACATGTATAAATATACATATAAAAAATACACCACAATTGTTTAAAATAAAATGAATATCAATATAAACCTCAAATTATATATACATGTAATTAATAATTATGTTCATTAATTATAATTAATTGATCATCTCTATTTCTTCGATAGAGGGGTGAAACATCTTTTTGTTGAAACTCCGTCATCAAAAGTATGAATTCTAATTCACTGAATCACACACTTTACGGCCTGGCCTTTCTGTTTCACGAAAGCCTTACATATTCTCGATATTATTACTGTAAATTGGAATTTTTGTTGTTCCCATTTACTCTACGTATTCAGGTGGTGAATATATACATTTACTTCTAAATAATAATGTATAGTATTTTCTGTGGTGTCGCTACTTCAGGTTGATCTTATCAAGCAACCAGGCGAGGGCCTCATAGGATTCTTAAAAAACCCCATGGAAAATTACTGTGTGTGATAGTTCATAATTTAACAATAGTCGTACAAGTAATACAGCATAGCAGTGAATCAGTTATCAAGCATAGCAGTTAAATTTAATATAATAACTACTAAGCAACTAATATCTCCAATCAGAAATTCAAGAACAAAAGCAAAAATTACAACTAGCAATTGGAAACAAAATTTTCTGTAAGAACAGAGACATTTGAAACCATCAAAACATGTTACATAACCAAATCATAGAAATTTTTCAATTGAAGAGCCATAAACACAACACAATTCAAAATAGCCTCATTAGCTCCTGTCTCTCTATGAATCCTTGTCTGGCTTTGAAGATCCATAAAAGTTGAAAATGAAACTGGAGGGAGAAAAATTTAGGTTAATTGAATAGAATAAAATCAAAATCAAAACCCTAGAAATCAATCTAAAATCTAGAAATCCACAATCAAATAAAAACCCTAGAAATCAAAATTCTAGAAATTCAAATCAAAATCAAAAACCCAAGAAATCAAAAATCACAAACTCTAGAAATTCAAATCAATAATCAAGAGTAGATGAGAGAGGAGAAACTGAAATTAATCGAATAATGGGATCAAGGCTCTCACCGAATAAAATCCAAGGCCCTCCGGAATTAGACTCAAATGCAAGCTCGGAATCAATCGATTGGCAGTGGCTGTGGTGGCTCGTGGTGTTGTGGTGAGATGTCGATGGAAGAGAAAGGAGAGAGGAGGAGAGAGAGAGAGAGAGAGAGAGAGAGGAGAGACGTATATTCAAAAAAGAAAATAAATCAGATTGCTAATAAATCTGTTCAAAAAAAAAAAAAAAAAAAAAACTGCTATTTTAAATCAAGATTGCTAATAAGGCTAAGTTTGGGGACTTCAAAAAAAGTCAAAAAGTTACTCAAAAAGTTAAAACAGTTAACACTGTTCACTAAAAGTCACAATTACGGCGCACAACTCCCAATTCAATTTTTCCTTACAAATCAATTTTACCAATTTTTTATTACACATTTTTCAATAAAAAGTCCAAAAAAAGTTAACCCAAACATCCATATTTTCAACCTCAATTTTTTAGTCCAAAAAGACAAAAAGTGCACTTTTTTAGTCTTCCCAAACTTGGCCTAAATCTGTTAAAAAAAATAAATGACAATATTAATAAAAACAAATTTGAGATGCAAAGAATGTCTAATTTTAACAATATTAATAAATAAATAAAACTTGGAGTACAAAATTTTAGGAAAAAAGATTTAAGTATAAGTTTATAAATTATTTTTGTATTAAAAAAATCTAGATTATAACTAGAATATCTAGTTTATTGGAATAAAAAATAAAAAATTGTCATATCTACTAGAAATTTATAAATATCTAAGAACGTTAAGAATTTTTTTATTATTATTTATTATTAAAATATAATTTCTCTAGAGAATGAGACGGTTTGGTACAAAAATAAGTATGGATCTAGAATGAAAGGGAGTGTGGCATAACTTTTTAAATTTTTTTTTTTTTTACTTTTTAAATTCAAATAATTTACATATACTTTAGAAGGAAAATTAGTTTTTAATTTTCTAAAAATATCACTTAATTCAAAAACATATAAAATTTAATATTTTACGACATGAAATGTATGTTGTCTTAAGTGCAAATATTTTATAACATATTTTTGTATGCCATGAAAATATACATTTTTTACGGCATACTTTTGCATGCCACAAAAAAATCAGATTGTATTTATTTATTTTTTTTGTACAAGTTTTCATGACATTCATTAGCATATCATGTAAAGTTATTATATTTTATAACATAAAATGTATGTCGTCTTAAGTACAAATATTTTACAACATATTGTTGTAAGTCGTAAAAACATACATTTTTTACGGCATATTTTTGCATGCCATAAATATATAAATTAACAACTTACATGGCATGTATTGTAACAGCCCCAAAATTTCTCCAACATAATCTAGGTACGTTAACTAACATTTATTATAGAATAATAGCAATTCCCAAATCATCATCACATTGATCACTAAAGCTTGTACAAAATAGTCCCACATGTGAATTATACATTCAATGGTATGAAATACATGAATCTATAGCATATAGAATGTCAAATCGAACAATAAATAAAATGCTCTCAAGGGGTTTATAAGTTCTAAAGCTTAAGCCCTGTTACACAAAAGATGGTTTCTTGAACCCATACATATATAGCTTTTGGCTTATTAAAAAAAAATATGGTCACAACAAAATATAGCCTCGTGCTCTCAATACATACATCCACGCCCTAGTTTGGCGGATTCACCACATCTTTTCTTACATCAAAATCTCATAGGGGTGAGCATAAAGCCCAGTAGAGAAATCCTTAACAAAGTATATACATTTTACACAAACCTCATAAAAAGGAATGCATAAGCCATGCTATGCTTTTGACATGAAAATCCTTTATTCTCAATGATATCTTGAAATCTCAAAAATGCATAAACTATCAATTTAATTCAAGGGGATGGTAAATACTACTCAGGTAATCCTTTAGTTGGTGTCTGCAAGTAGACATAACTAGCACTACCAATACCCTACTTTACCGTTTGCTAACCGGAAAGAAAGTGATACCTCCTCCACGCCTGTTTTCAGTCTTTCACCCTGGACACTCAGGCCAACTTAATCAATTCCATTTACACCTCCTATCCGAACTTACCAACATATTTATCCCAAAACATTTCGATAGTTTCATTTCACCACATTTCTTTCCCAATGCAAATGTTTTTCAAATCTCAACTCAAAATTTGTAACTATGCAATAATAGAAATGCCAATGCAATCTATATATCAAGGCAAAATAGTAATCCTCCATTGATAATATTTCCCACACAAATTTATCAAATTCGATCGTAAATTCCCATTTTTCCTTTCCAATGCGATTTCATTAATTATCATGTATGAATATATATATGTTTATATATATATATATATCCAAGTGTAGCAACAATTCCACATTTCATGCGTTCTCAACAATTTGCCATTTCATAACTACATATGTATATGCATTTAACAATAAATTCAAACAAGGTCTCCAAATCCTCATACATCAAGAAAGTTTTCATATTTGCAAACAACAATATGAAATTTCCACTCACTCCATCATTTAACACAAGAAAATTTCATAGATTCTCAACATTTTCCAAAACCCCAAATTTCTAGGTTTTTCACCCAAAACTAGACATTTCTTCATTTCTTAGTAAAACCTCACCAAAAACATCATTCTTAAGTCAATGTGATTCAACTATTCAAGAAAATCTTTAAAAGGAAACAAAATATGGATTCCTTTTACAAAACCACTAACTTCTAGAGCCAAAAACCAATTTTCAAAACAATAAAAGAGGAAATCTCGAAATTACCCAAACTTGCAAAAATATATATATAACTCTAAGAAAAATCCCTACCTCAAGTTCTTGGAGAGAAAAGAGATAAAATCCCCAAAAATCAATGGTGATAAATCCCGATCTTCACCGCACACAATGTAGCTCTCGAGGAGCTCTTCAACTTTGATAAAGGGACAAAGAGAAAAACTCTAATGGATCAAGGGAAATCAAAGTTTTGATCTTGTTTGGTGTAGGAAATGTAGAGAGAATGAGAAGAAAGGGCTTTTTACAAAGACAGTGATATACAAACAATGACATACACACAGCCCAAGGAAAGAAGAAAAAGCTAATTTTTGGAGTCAGTAGAGTCTCGCACGTGTGGCACCCACACCCGCACGTGCGGAGCATCCTCCCACACGTGCAGTAAACACCCAAGCACGCGTGGTGATCCTTTCCCGTACCTCCAGTTGCACCTGCATATAATGTAGTGTGCAGCCCAGAAATCCCCTGATTTCCGCACGTGCGGCCCAAGGCCCTGCACGTATAGCCCTGGTCCTCTAGTCCAGAATTTCCTCGGCTCAATCCCTGGCACTCCGGACCGAACCCGCACCCTCTGAAACAAGTGAAACTCAACACTGGAGTAAACAAGAACTAAAATTTAAAATTAAAAAAAAAATCCTCCGAACACAACAAACCCAATGAGAATGATGAGTGAAGGGACGCACGACGTAGCCGGTCATCACAACCTCCCCACCATAGAAAATTTCATCCCCGAAATTAAATCAACTACTCAAAAAGAAAAGTTTCTAGCAATCACAACCATGCTATTATAATTCAAACCGCAAAATAAATTCTCAACCCACATTTACTATTCTCATCATGATTACCACACTAACATTGACCATCCAAGATAAACATATGCATGGAGCTTTTTAATAAATTTAGTAATAACTCACAACTACTTCATGCTTGAAACAATAATGTACATAACAACACGTACTTAACAATTTCAATACATTTTCCCTTCAACGCTAGGGAATAATACTAATGAAAAACAACTTAAGCATGTTCAAATAAATCTGGATACTTGGAGCAGGCCTCCATTTCCCATTCCCAAGTTGCTTCCTCAACCCCATGGTGTCTCCACAACACATTTACCAACAATATAGTTTTGCCCCGTAGCACTTGCTCCTGGGTATCTAGTATTTGAACCAGTCGCTCTTCGTAAGAGACATCCTCATCTACCTCAAAATCAACCCATTCAAACACATGAGAAGGGTCGGGCTCATACTTCCTAAGCATAGACACATGAAACACATTGTGAACCCCTGAAAGTTGTGGAGGTAAGGCTAACCGATACGCCACTTCCCCAATTCGCTCCAATATTTCGAAAGGCCCAATAAACCTTGGAGACAACTTACCACTCTTACCGAATCTCATCAAACCCCATCTTGGTGAGATCTTAAGGAACACAGGGTCACCAATTTCAAAAGATAAAGGTCATCTCCTCTTATCGACATAACTTTTCTGTCGGCTTTGAGTCGTAGCTAACCTCTTTCGAATGAGGGCAACCTTCTCGGTTGTCTCTCTAACAATCTCTAGGCCCAACAACGGTGCATTACCTACCTCGGCCCAACAAACCGGTAATCTACAAGGTCGGCCATACAAGGCCTCAAATGGTGTCATCTCGATGCTAGCTTGGTAACTATTGTTATAGGCAAACTTAATCAACAGTAAGTGCCTCTCCCAAGACCCCTTAAAATGAAGGACGCAAGCTCTAAGCATGTCCTCCAAAATCTGAATAGTATGCTCCGACTATCCATCGGTTTGATGGTGGTAAGTGGTGCTAAAAGTCAACCTAGTTCCCAACGCCTCTTGAAGGCTTTGCCACAACTGGGCAGTAAAACGAGGATCTCTGTCCAATACAATGGTTATAGGAACTCTATGAAGTCGAACTATCTCTCTAATGTACA